TTTTTTTTTTTTTTTTTTTTTGCCAGCTTTTAATACGAATTGGCTCCGTCAACCAAACCAGATGGTTTATAACTGACATCTGACACACTTGAGCACACACAACCCAGCACAAGTTATTTCGATTCTCTCGATTGCGACAAGAAGTTTCAAAATTTTGTTCAATTGTCTCGTAGATTTGCATTACTTTAGGAATACATGTTACTTAGATGACAGTTAAATAATATTATCCCAACTGAGCAAACACATCGGTGACATGCAGTCCTTTCTTTCTATCAGGGTAATTCACCTATTCTTTCATCCAATAGACTTGAGCACACCCATGTGCATGATTTAGAATCGATTGGATCAAAAAATATCAACTGAGTGTTGATTGCACTAAGCTCAGTAAGAACCATAATTTCTGGCCACCGTACTTCAAATACCTACCTTTAATTTTTAAGTTTGTGTCCTAGTAAATACTCGGGAAATGTCATTCTTGAATTCTACAGAAATACAGAACAACAGCTCCACACCAATAAAAACATACTCAAGCTATGAAGGCGATGAAAGTTTAACTTGGAAATTGCTTAAGAGCGTAGCGTTGGGTGTTTTGATTTTGATGTCGCTGGTAGGGAATTCTTTGGTCGTTGGGTCAGTCGTCAGGAACTGTAATAAAAGAATGAGGACAGTAAGCAACCTGCTTATAGTCAACACTAGTCTTTCATATCTTCTCATTACCGTAGTCAACATGCCAGAATTGATCTACCGCATCAATGCGACCAAACCCTTGCTCATCGCTGGAGAGGTTGGCTCCCACCTTTGTAGATTAAAGAACTTTGCTCCATTCTTATCAGTGTCTTTGGCGACCCAGAGTTTTGCAATCCTAGCTGTGGATAGGTTCATAGCAGTATTTTATCCGTTGAGACGAATTAACCATAAAACGGCCTACGTTCTTATTGCATTAACATGGGTTACATCGTTCGCATTTGGTTGGGTTTATATTTATGGAAGTGCCTTGATCACCTTTCCAAAAATTGGCATCGTCTGCGCTATTAACATCAGGAAATCTTTCAACAGTCTCAGAGGTCTTGTCACATATGTTTGGGTCGAGTTTTCCTTCTTCTACATGGTTCCTCTAGTTTTGGCCAGTGGTTTATACACTTCCACAATTATCCGTCTTTGGAGGCCAAAGATCAATCGTAAAACCAGAGGACCTTTTGCAGTTCGTTTTTCAGGCAACACCAACAAGAACGCCATCAAAATGTTGATAACTGTTCTAATCTTGTTTTCGATTGCTTGGCTTCCTCTGTGGGTCTATACCGTGACTTGCCGTGGTAATTTCACGAACTTTCTTGGCCATCCAATCTGTAAATCAGGACTTTTCATTTTCCTGATATATTTTATTGGTTATTCTCAAGGAGCTCTTGCTCCTTTCATCTATCCTATATTTAGTCAGAACTTTAGAATGGGTTTTAAGGATTGTCTCTCATTTCTGAAGCGATGTACGAATCGTCATGTAAATAATGGAGCATCAGTATTGGAAATGAGAACCCTGCCCACAAAAACTGGCCATGGGAAGTGTGACAGCCGTGGGGTGACTAATTTATCAATGGATTTGATGTAACAAAATGAACGTATAATAGATTATATAAAATAAGATATAAACAACAACAGCAACAACAACAAACAAACAAAAACATAAAAAAACAAAAAAGAAAAGAAAAGAAAAAACGAAGAAAATTAAAGAAAGAAAAACGAAAAAATAAGAAGGAAGGAAGGAGGTGGGTTTAGGAAAAAGTGTGCAAAATACCTGATTGTCATTTATTTGAGCATAAGAAAACCTTATCGACTAGAAATGTTTAAATAAAAAAACAAGTACAAAAATAATTAGTCGACGTATTGATTGAATTTCTAACTTACCTCTTAAAACAAACCTAAAACAATAAATCACAAAATGATAATAAGTATAGGTAATAGGACTACATGCTCAGTCCAATTTGGAAATAATTGGATGAAAAAAATTTCGAGGACTGACAAAATTGGAAGAGGCCGATAAGCCGAGTCCAATTTCAATCAATCAATACTGAACTTTATTTATCCTACAAAGATGGATCAGCTGGAGGACTGGAGAGACAACCAGCTGGTATAAACCCATATGTAACAATGTTCAAAACAAAATTCTCTATGTAAAAATACAATATAAATTGCCCTATTTCACTATGACGWCACATCAAAACCATCTATTGTTTAAACGCAAAGGATCATGGTCGTCGGACCGTATCAATCCACGAAGAGAAGTAGAATAGACAGCAAACGCTCAGAATATTTTTTAGTACATATTAGCACATATTATATCTGAAAACCAGGCCATTTTAGATTAAACTGTTTCGCTAGGAGCAAATTTTGTTGAATTTTCTATTGGATTTGGCGATTCTATCCCCACATAAACAAGCAGTGACGTCATAGTGAAATAGGATAATTGAGCTTACACTATATATAGAAAGTTTTAAAATATCTAACTTAGCATTAAAACTAATGCTTACAAGCATTGGTATTATTGATACATCTCTTGATAACGATATATATCAAGCAGCAGTAAGGGGGACTTGCGAAATCCAAATCACTAAGCATCGAATTTCACGGGTATT